TGTATATATTTAATATTCGAATTAATAAAACAAAGTTAGCATGGCGGTTTTCGACATCGACTTTACAAAAGTCGAATATCGATAGCTTATTCTCTTTTCAAGCATTTCTTTCTCATACTTCTCAGTTTGATCTGTTCGAGCACAAGACAGAGGATGATTATGGCATCAGTATGATTCATACATACAGTAAGCTTATATTAACCATTAATTCTTATATCCATTAGCATTGTTTTTTCCCTATTCACTAAATATCATTAACTAAAAAACTCCTTGACTTTTTGCCCCCTAATATAACAGGTTCAATTGTCATGTTACAAATGCTCTCGATATAAGAAACCTTCGATACAAGAAATATGGCCTAGACCCGATTTAAAATCTTATAACAATAACTTTCTCGTATAAGAAATTTCAATATAAGAAAGGAATTTGTTGGGCCCGACCACTTTCTTACATCGAGAGTCGCTTGAATGCGATTACTCGTTTATCCAAAAATGAATTGCCAACTGGCAGTTGTTTAAGCAATAATTAAGTTGCTGCTTATTAGTGAAAATGACAACTTCAGGTGCTCTTCTTGTAATTATCCCAAACACCATAGTACGTATGGACGATAGAGATTTTCGAAAATAAAGGGGTTTCATATGTTTTACTAGTAAAATTTCGTCTTGTACTTATATTTTGTCAGGGCGGGTGTATATGTCAGATTGATATTTATATTCTCGGTGTGAGATACTAAACGTTGATTAATTAATATAATACGCGTATAAACATTGTTTATTAGGGTCCGTAGAATATTTGTCGGTGAAATGATTGCCGACGAAATGATTGTCTCCCGTTTATTTATTAGTTGTAATAGAAATCGGACTGCTTTTCAGACATGTCTTCAATATAAATTACAGCTATCCGCTAAGGGTTGTTCAAATTAAGAGAGAGCAAAGCTGACTATATACAGTAGATATAATAAAGTAGAGATAGAGAAGACAATTTATTATTTTTGGAACCATCGCTTGTTTATGTGTAAAATGTTGTGCTGTGTTTTTTGACCCGTGAGTTATGCTTAATCGTTCAAAGAGAAATAGACAGTCAAAACTGGATATAACATAATAGTTACGAAAATAATATCGTTATACAAGATATTATCTATCTTGTTTGACATTCGGTTTTATTGAAAAAACAAAACCGTCTAGCATTGACTGTTTCTTATTATTGACGTGGTGCGTTAGCACTTGTTTTCGTAAGGAGCTTACTGATAATACAGTACTTGCATCGCAATTATCGCACTTTTCAGAAACCCCTGAAATTTTGTACACACACAATCACTTGACTACGAAAATTTTCGAAAACTCAACCAAGTCTTTACAAACTTCTGCGATTATTCGCCGGCACTCAACGCTTTACAGCTTCCTTAGCTTTTATAGAGAAAAGGTTTTCGATTACTGGCGATTACTGAAAATTGTTGGGCGTTACTGGACGTTTACAGGCGAACGCTAACGAAAATTGTTGTCATTTAGCTGTTGTATAGCAATATTAACAATTTTATTGGTCAAAGATATTACGTTGAAGAAGTTTATCTTCATTCTGATGGTTTTTCTCGTAAGCGGATTTGCCGTTAATTGTATGTTAGTCGGGCCACGGTTTGAATGTTGGGGAATCCCTTCAATGGGATGCGTGGACGTTGAAAAATTCTTGATCGTACGATATGGCATCACTCGGAAAAGGTTTGTATGTTTCAACTAATGCTAAGTAAGAAATAGAAAATCTCACTAATAAAACTTTCTTGTAGTTACATAAAGCCGCTATGGAAAGAAATGAATTGTTTCGTAGTTCTTTTATCACTAAAATGGAGAATCATATTCACCCGAGCAACTCATATTCCTTGGTGAGAGTGCGAAGGATGTTATTCATAACTTTCTCTCTTTTACAATTACAACTTTCAAATTTATTATCTGTCTCTAATAAACAAGCATAACATAAAGCTGTACATATGCACTATATTTCCTGGGTTCGTGTGTACCGTCGTCGGGGTTTCCATAATTTTGAAAAGTGCGATAAAACCTGCGGTGGATGAACGAGAAAATTGAACATATTATCCAAGCTTTCTAACACGTTCTTTATGGAAACAGTCTCTTCCTCACCGTCAGTCTCCGTGTTTTTAGACATCGATTGAAAGAACCAACAATTTCTTCATCCGTCATTCCTTGAGTCTGCATGTCATTATCGAAAGAAACAAATTCTAGTGCGTTCTCAAAATTTTGTTGGATATTGGGTGTTTTTCGCTGGTAGTTTGTTTATTGAGTAACATTTGTTTAGTATTAGACAAATGAATATTATTATATTATTATAGTATTGTTTACATATCGTGTGAATAAAATAATATTTAGTAAACAAAATATTACCTGTGGCTTTGCTATTCGGGCGGATGTACATGTCATATCTATTGCAGAACTGCAGCGTACAAGTACGTTAATTTGATAGTTAAATTTATTATTTTAAGCTCATCTGAATTTAGTCTAAACGTCAAAACGTATAGAAATTAAACCGTATAGAAATGATGGAATCAGTTTGTTTTGTATGAGAAAAAGTTTCTATTATGCGTTATATACCGTATTTCACGGACTAAACTATTGCAGAACTGCAGAAGGTACAGGTACATTAATTTGATAGTTAAATTTATTATTTTAAGCTTGTCTGAATTTAGTCTAAACGTCTAAACGTATAGAAATGATGATTGGTACGAGAAAAAGTTTTTGAGCTTTTGTGGAAGTCTATTGTACGTTGTGTATACACCGGATGTACCAACTTAGTCTACTAAAAGTGAATAAACGCATATGTTTATTTGACTTTTAAATACATGGAGAAAAAAACAAATGACGAAAATTGGTTTCAGTCGGCTGTAGAGTAGCATGAAGTTCAATACCAGAGACCGATGTACCCTTCAAATTGAAACTGGAATAACTTTCGAAAGACTCAGTACTTATAGTTTACAACTAACGTTCCGCGATAACTGATTGTTATACAGTTTTGAGTAGATCAACATCTTTGATATGGATTAAATTTAAATGTGAGCGAAATGATCAAATTTATTGTACGTTGCAAGGTGATATTTCTGTTATTTATTGGGTAAACAAGATTTACGGTCAAACCTCGGCAGAACCGATACTTTTTTTAATTCCGTGCAACTTATACATCCGATATTACATATTAATATAGACCTCGCAACCCGATAAACCGATATTACGTGTATTATTATAATGTAGTACAAATTACGTGACCTTACGTGTAAAATATACAAAACATTCTTTTTTTCGAATTTTGTGCCGTTCTCAATTTGTGGCCTGTTCTCCCTTTTCTATCCAAACCTTATTTGCTTCCTTACTTGAAACTGTGAAGAAATATATCCATGTTTCATCTCCAGTTATAATATTGTTGTATCCTTTTTTTAAAGTTTCAATAGTTGTTTAGAAACTTCTACTCGTAACCTCTTATTGTCCTCCGAAAGCTTCTGAGGAACCCATTTCGAACAGACTTTATGAAAGCCTAGTTCGTTGCGCAAAATATGGGTAATTCTTTCACGGGAAATACCACGTACCTACTTGACTAGCCAATTCCGTGGTAGTAATGTGAGAATCATAGTCATTGTTAACAAGGTCGCCGACTTTGGCAATTTTTTCTGACGTCACTGCTTCGCAAGGACGTCCAGAACGAGCCTTGTCAGAAACACTCTCACCTCCGTCCCAGCGTTCAACTGCGCGAAGTGATAGTGCTTCAGCATTGACTAACTCGTTGTGAATCTGAGTTGGCTCCTGACCGTTCTTCCATGAAACATAAATGTAGTATCGTTGCTGTTCGTGTCACATTTTTGTCCAGTTGTTTTTGTATAGGGTTTTCAAAAATCTATTTCTCGAGAATGGTCAAATGAATTTTTGTAATCTTTTTTTTTTCTTTTATTCCTCGAAACGATAGATCACCTCCATTTTTTGGATTGGTCAGCTGATCGTTGAAATATGACCCCGGCGACAAAACTTTTCAGCACCCCCACGTATACCGTAGATGGAAAAAGGGCATACAGTTACTGGTAAGCTTCTTCAAATTTTATGGAAAAAAGGGGAAGAACGACTGTTGCTTCATCACGATAATGTTGCGCCACATAAGTCAGCAGTTGTAACGGCAAAAGTCCCCATAGTCCGGACCTTGCTCCTCGTGATTTTTTTACATTTGGCAAGGGCCGTTCAGGCAATTGTTGAAACCATTCCAAAAGCCGACTTGCGAAGTCTTTCCAGAGTTGGCAGAATCGTCTGCAACGTTCTATAGATGTTAATGGAGAAGATGGAATAGTTTTATCGATAATTATTATGCAAGTTCTGGAAATAAAGAATCAACGACAAAACTTTTCAGCACCCCACGTACATACAAATGCGTACATTTATATCTATAATAAATTTTCAAGAATGCAATCTTGCAAGGTCAACAACCACAGCCCAATATTTCTTTAAAGTTGGTGCTAGAAAGTGTGGATAATATATTGCAGTTTATCAGTAATCCTCCAAAAAGAATTCCTTTTTCGAGCCGACAGGTTTATTACTTCGTAACATTTCTTATTTTGTTACATTTACATCAAGCATCTAATACACACTCTCCATTGCGACTTCATGGTGGAACCATAGTTTTTGGATGATAGTAATATACAGTACATTGTGACCTAACATAGTTAGTGGAGTTTAGTATTAGGCTTCGTATTGTTTGTCTCTGTTATAAATAACAGTATTTCTAAAGTCATTTTCTGTAAAAAAGCAATCGCAAGATAAATTCTTGTTGTGAATGAACTCCTTTTGTCCGTCCGGTTTATTGAGAATAAATATCTTTGTTAAAACACTTATGGAAATAAGAAGCGAAAACAAAAACCGATAGAAAATGGTACAGCCACATCGGTTTTTGACTGTATATGGTTTCTACTTGTAATACATGTGATCATTTATGACGTCAAATAAAGACATCTAAATCATTTACGCAGAGTATCTAAAAACATCCAATTCTTTTTTCATATCCCTTAGTCTATCGATAGTTTTCTCACACGTTTTACGCCTTTCTGCCATAATGGGATCTTCTTCAACGAGTTCTCTTAGTTCTATGCGTCTCCTCGTGTGTTCAATATCGTCAACAAGAATGTCACTAGTCATTGAGTTTTGCCAATTTTCTGAAAAATCGAAAATAAACTTGTTGGTTATCGCCATGCATACGTAGTCCGTATATCTTTTTAGAGATAGTTCATAATAAGCCTTTACATCGGCCACCACGGTTGCAGCTTCCGGATCACCAGGCACGAGTTTGACCAGTTCGGACTGATACTTGCTCTTCATTTCTGCAATTCGATTATCATTGGTGTATGATCTCCTAAACTCGAGATCAGAAAATGACTCGATCAGTTCTTCGCATTTCACTTTGCGGGCCTCGAGCCGCCGCTTTGCATGCCCCTCCAAGAAAAAACGAAGTTTCTTGTACTGTTTCGCTGAATCGCGGATAATCTGTTCAATCTCCCCCCACATCATGTCAAACATATTTTTGAGATATTGCGTCGAATGTTTTTCCCAGTGACGTTGATATGTTCTGATTATGGAATCCGAAACTTCATGGGGAACTCTACCGGGAAGTAGTAGATAGCCTCTCTTTTGGTTAATAATATCTTTAACATTCTTTGATTCCTTGATAAATGTCTCATCTCTTGGCGAATATTCATTTGCCTGAGTTTCGTAATCAAGCAATTTTATTAGTCCCCAAAATAGAACTAAATGGTTGAACTTGAAATAAAACAAAAACAAAAACCGCTTACAATTTCCATGGTGGTTACGTGGATTGAATCAAACGTCGCATTATTATGGTTTCCTGAGGGAATATTTTGCAAAACATTGACAATGAGCGTTCCACATGACGACGACGTTAGCACAAACGCCGGACTTCCGTTTTCTATTGCCGTCTTGTACGCTTTCAGCTGGTTATTAATTTTCCCCCACATATTATCGTTTTTATCATTCAAATCGGTTCCGCTGCGTTCAAGCTTGTAACGAATTTTATCTTCACACATATTTGCCACTCTGTTAATTTCGATTTGTGGATTGACGGGCGGTTGAGGTAATTCTTTCAATTTACCAACTGCCTAGTAAAAAAAAAAGATCAAAGAACAAACGAACGTGGACCGTCTTAGTAAACAACCAACAAGAACAAGCGGTTATATGTCAACCGTCTATAATAATATTCTCTTACCTCTTTCAATTTGTCATTTATATCGTCCATAAGTTTAGGAATATTTTCTCTAATTTTGTCTATGAGTAAATTTTCTAGCCGCGTTCTTAGTCTTTTTACTCCGAGTCTGTCCTTATAGATGGACGAGCACCATGGCTGAGTGTTTTCAAACCACTATAATAAAAACATCATATTAACAAAAGTCATCAACGTTTATTTCCCACTGACACTGGTTTACTTACCTGCTCTTCTTCCTCTCTAGCCTGCGTAAACGTCACTCCATTGATTAATTTTGCCTGATTCGGATTCATAACTACGAAATA